TTGCAAATGGCAAGATCTCATTCCTTTTGATGGCTGCATAATATTCCATTGTATATATATACCACATCTTCTTTAGCAGGATAACATTTTGAGACATACACAGGTTTCTTCCTCAACGACCTCAACCCTCACCCCTCTTTCTTTACACACTGCCCTTCACTCGCAATTCACCAACCCTCAAGGGAAAGGTGGATATAGTCTAGACTAGCATTGTCCAATAGAACTTTATGCAATGTGGAAATGTTCTAAGTTTGACTGTCCAGTATGATAACCACTAGCTACACGTGGCTGCTGAGCACTTGAAATGTGGCTACTGTGACTGAGGAATTGGATTTTAAATTTTATGTCACCTAAATCAGTATTAATTTAAACTTTTAAATTAAATAGCCACAGACGACTACTGTTTTGGACAGTTCAGCTGTAGCTCTAGAACAAAGACATGGATTGTTTGTTGAATTGACTATTTTAAGACCAATAGCAGAGACGATTCTTGATATATAAAACCAAATTTTAAATTAAATAATAAAATCTTGGTGTTTGCGAGAGGAAGCTTTTTGTTTTGCTTTGAACAAAACATGGCTTTGCATATCAAGAACCAAAAATCCTGAAGACTAGCGCATGAAATTTATACCATAAGTCATAGAGAAGGAATTATGCATGATGAATTACAATGACTTTTTTTGCCCAAAAGGAAATAAGAGTTTAGTAAGCGAGGAAAGACTATTTCTAGAACTTAGGTCTAGTGGATACCTAAAAAAAGATGCTGACACTGGATACACTGAGGAGAGGGTATCCTGAAACAGAGGGGAACTTTTGCCTGGATTTTCCATGGGCTTGGCCCAAGTCTTATATAAAGCAGACATCAGAAAGAAGGTGATTAACCATGACTGACGGAGGTACTAGCACTGAGGGAAATGATGCAGCCTCCCAGAGATGAGCAGACAATCAGAGTGTTGGGGAAAGACCTAGGGAGTGCCTGAGCCCTCACAAGAGAGTGTCTATGTGTGGTGCTGAGCATCAGGCCAGAAGAGATCTGGGGTTGGACTAGATAACCCACGATGGGTAGGTGAAGTAGCCGCTCCTCCTCAACTGCTATGATGATTTATAAGCACCCCCAGGCACTTATATCATCTGTCTGAGAGCAATGAAGGAGGAGAAAGGTGTGGTGTAAGGCCTAAAATTAAGGTCCAATATCATGTGCTGCCTTTGCACCTGGTAAAATCAGAGGGCCTTGAATGGCTTAATTATAAGTTCACCTCTCCACTCTGTTCCCACAGATAAGGTCTCCTAGTCCAATAACCTTCCTTATCTAAGGGACCCAGTGCATTTCCTGCTTATCCCTGAGTAGTGGTTTCAGTTCCCTGCCAGACCACAAAAGTATTCAAATGAACCAATCACATTCTCCTGCAGAAATGAGGGGACATCACACCTTCTTGATACTACAAAGCCTGTCTCCCACAGTTGTTGTTGTTCCTGGTTGTTCAGTCTGTTCCCAAGGGCAACTCCTCTGTGGCTCTGCATTGCATGCAGTGTCCTCTTCCCTGTGCTGTGAGTATATATAACTAGTAAACTGCCCTTAATCTCACCTGTCCAGTGTTCAGTGTCATGTGTTTGGCCATCTCCGTAACCCCAAGGCAGAACCCCTCCCTTACCAACAGGGTGAATAGGAGGCAATTAAAACAAAGGGAAATGGGGATTAATTAATCTTGAATTAATTAATTTTAAATCTCAAACTGACCACTTTTAAGCTCTACATGTGGCTGAATGACATGGAATTAGAAAGTTTAATCTTTTAGCCATCAGCAAAAGGGGCTTGTGAACTTTACTTCAAGATAGATAAAGGGAGCGCTATATTTTTACATCAAATCATTGTACTAATACAAAAATCATACCACCTTTTCACATTTTAATGAGAATTTAAAAAAAGATAGTTGAATATTATTTTATACTGAGAGACTCAATAAAATAATTGATTTATCCAGATAGTTCAAGGATGAGCCTGGAGTTGCTCAATGAGAACATTTTCTCCTGTTCTTCGTATCTTTCACATGTTTTCTAATGATTCACCTACTATGTACAAAGCAAAGTGCAAGAACTGTCCAAGATACAAAAATGGGTTTGAATTTCTAGCCTACTTGGAGCCCAGTGAGGCAGAGTTCATTATCCAGCTGCTTCTCAGCATCCTCTAAACTCCCATAGTACTTTCTACACCCATACCTTTGTATAGATTGTATGGATCTCCTCAAAACAATGGTACCAAAAAGCAGAATATTCTAGTAGAAACATTTATTTTCAGCCCAAATCAAAAGCACAGAAGCCCAGTATCCCATACAACTTCTGCCTGGTTGGCTCCTTTCATATCATTCCTGCTGTCCTCTCCCACCAATCCATAGAATGATTTCTCTTTCTCTTGGCCTCTGGGTCCAGCTTTGTTCA